TGTCTGTCTGTCTGTCTGTCTGTCTGTCTGTCTGTCTGTCTGTCTGTCTGTCTGTGTGTTTGTTTGTTTGTTTGTTTGCTTGCTTGTTTGCTTGTTTGTTTTATTAAAGCCATTACATGCCACTTGGAACGTATCTGTCAGGGCCATGCTGGACAGGGTTTGAATACAATATCCTATCAGAAAGATTGCGAGATACTTGAAAACTTCCCCACTCCGGACTCGAACTCACGACATCTGCTTGCTATGGCAAAGAGCCTATAAAGCGTAACACCATATGATAGAATAACTGCTTCAACATTTGTTCCTGTTTGAATTTACAAGGCCTTTGGTTCGATCTTTCCCTCCTGTCCGTGACCACGTTGGCAATCAAGAAATTGATTTCCTTTGAGTGATCGATCATCAGGCGGTATAATTTCCAATTTTTCTTTTTTCGGATTTGGCTCATATAGATCAATCGATTTCTCTTTCTCCTTTCCAATTTACGGGGAAATGAGAGGGCGGTTCCTTTGCCACCTTCACTGAAAACTTCACATATTACTGTTTCTGCTAAATGTTTCAACTAGTCTACCATCTCGCGTATTGGCAGTCAGTGCGTCAACATAAAGGCGTGACGTCAAACGTTTTACTTTTTATTTTCTTGGAGAGTGTGTCATCTTTTTTAGCTATTGTTATAAGATCTATTTTAGTTGGTCTAGCCGGCGATGTCTGAGAACTGCAGCGCTGGCACGTTGTCGTATTGTCCGTAGACAATCCAGGCTACATTAGTGCTCAAAATGGAACCTGTCTGTTGATTGAAAAGGTTCGGACTCCGGGGTCTGTGTGTTATATCTTGTCCATCTCTCGCACAACCTCCTACATGCGAGGGCTGAGAATGCTTCGACAAACAGTCAAATTGTTTCAGGACTCCTCGGAGAGCTTGTCATAAACACAAGCAGTATAACACAAGCTGGATGAAATTTCTATCAACTTTCGACGTAAGGTAAGTAAAAGTCCGCTTCTAAATTATGTTCCCGTCGTCTTTTAAATTCTCCTCAGATTCTTCAAACTTTACTGGTGTTCTACTTATACTTACCAGTGACATCTGGATTTAGATCTGCCTACTCCCAATTTCTTGGCAAATGCACACAAAGCAAGTCTGACAATGACTCTACAAAAATTTGAAGGCTAACAACGTTAAATAATGCAGAAAAAATAAAGAATACTTTTTTCATAGTCTTATCTTTCTCAGATTTGCACTATCTAAAGTTCCTTTGCCTATCTTTGGAAAATTGACTAACTATTCTAAGTCCATAAAGCTTTCAAATTTTTCTAATCTAGAGAAAGTGAAAAAAGAACCCCAACATTTCTTTTTTTTAATGTACATCTACATTGATTTTCATAAAGGCCATATCTGTTGGGTTTTTTCTCCAACATTTAGAATTTGAAGGGCCAACAAAATATCTCTCGAGCATATAATATTATACTGGTCACAGATTAGGAAGCCCCAATAAAGTGATTGAAAAAAACATCCCAAGTTTGGGGCTTAGTACATGTACATAGAATCTATATCTGAACCGCTGGACGAAGACATAGAATAAATTCAAAACACTCTCTTTCTGCAGGGATGGTACAACTTGGACAGGGTGAACGTTAAACCATTTGTCGGCTGGACATTCTTCGAGACCAAAGATTCTTACCTGGCTTGTTGTTCTCTCCCTTGCAACGTCTGTGTTCTCAAGTGGCGACCAGTAAGTAGATCTCCACATGAAGTGAGTGACGTCCTTTAAGACTTCAACTCAAACTGTTTCCTTCTTTATTCAGTTCGGGAAGCGAGGGAGGAAGAGTGCGAAGTGGGGATGATTGTGCCAATTTCAGTGCATGGGACTGATAGGAGAGCCAACTATTATTTATTAACTCATTGTATTTGCTAAACCATCAAAATGCAAGAATGTCCTGCTAGGGTTTTGAACCTGGAAGAATGCCCTGATTGGGTTTTGAAGAAGAAGAAGAAGAAGAAGAAGAAGAAGAAGAAGAAGAAGAAGAAGAAGAAAAAGAAGAAGAAGGAAGAGGAAGAGGAAGAGGAAGAGGAGGAAGGGGAGAAGGAAGAGGAGGAGGAGGAAAAGGAGGGGTACAAGAAGAGTAGGAGGACGAGAAGGATGAGGAGGGGGAAAACAGGCAAATGAGTTGGTCCTGATCAGAACATTAATCATTAAATTATTCACAGGAACCAGCCATCCATGTCTAGGTGCTGTTTTAGCCCAAATGAAATAGCCAAAAACAGACTTGTCCTTAACCACACCAGAGCACCCGCCACTCTGCCACACATAATACATGTATAACCTGCTCTGTGAATCACTCACAATGTCTTTCATGTAGAACGGGCATCTGTCACAATGGGATTTTTCTTTCTTACTAGGCCTACAGCCTACGGATACAGTTTGAGATAACATAATAATTATCATTTTTGTTAGGGTTCAAAGCGGCGTTTGTCTGTTTCAGATTCACCTGACATTTTACGACGCCAAAATCGTGTTTGGCAAAAATTTGCTGCGTGTAAGTAATATATTATTATTACTGTTACGCGATACTCATTACTCTCCCCTTCTCTTGGTTGGCTATTGGCGTGCTTGCCAAGCCTTGTGTACGGTAAGTTGACTCTATCAGGCTGCTAATACTTCCTCTCCTCCCCCCCCCTCTCTCTTTCTCTCTCTCTCTCTCTCTCTCTCTCTCTCTCTCTCTCTCTCATGTTTCCCTATCTCTCACTCATCTACCCACTCTCTCTCTCTCTCTCTCTCTCTCTCTCTCTCTCTCTCTCTCTCTCTCTCTCTCTCTCTCTCTCTCTCTCTGTGTGTGTGTGTGTGTGTGTGTGTGTGTGTGTGTGTGTGAACACACACGAACACAGACAGGCACACAGGCACACACACATACATACACACACACACACGCACACACACGCACGCACGCACACACACACACACACACACACACACACACACACACACACACACACACACACACACACACACACAACCCCTTGTCCACTTAATATCTCCCGTATTCCACATTGCCACGCTCATTCCCTTTTATGGTCTTCAGTCACGCAAAATAATCTAGAATCTAAAATTTAGTAGGCTACCTTGTGACCTGGACCACCCGTGGGGGTTTGGTACCACACCAGGTTAAACCGGCGAGAAAAAGCAGAGGATATTATTGTTATGATTATGATTATGATTATGATTATTATGATTATGATTATTATTATTATTATTGTATTTTTAAAAATTATTATATCATTATTGTTGTTGTTGTTTTTGTTATTATTATTTTTATTACTATTGTTATGACTATTATGATTATTATAATTAATTATGTATGGGGGCTCTCGTGGCCTAGAGGTTAAGGTGTTGGCCTCTCATTCAAAGGTCCCGGGTTCGATTCCGGGTAGCGACCAAAAAAATTTTCTTCTCTAAAATTGTCTCCTTTCACATCCTTTCCTGATCTCTAACAATGTTCTGTTGTCTGCTTTCGTTTCCACTTTCTGCCCCCACCCCCTCACCTCCTTTGCCCCCTCCTCTGGGCTCCTGACTCTTTCTGTAGCCTTTCTACTGTTACTCCTTGGCTCCTCCTAACTGCTGTCTTTCTGCCACACCCCTGATCTTCTGGTAGGAAAGATCTACACCTAGCCTTCTCGGACAAGGGCGAAAAATCTCGGAGGGCCCGTGTGCAAGTTGCGCAAGTTAAAGATCCCTTGGTGGTCTAAAATCGATAAGAGTAGGCTTCGGCCGCCACCCGGGCAAAATTCAAAATTTCCTACCAACGAAAAAGTATTTGGTGTGTCCCGCGCGCTCATATGACCTTATGCAGTTGCGAGCGCCGTAAAACCCTATACTAAACAAACAAACTAAACATAATTATGTATTATTATTGTTGTTGTTGTTAGTATTATTATCATTGTTAGTATTATTGTTATAACGAAGACTCTCACAAATTAAACTTTGAAAGGAGAAAATTTCGAAGCATACAAGGTATGTGTGCGAGCGTGTGTGTCAGTGCGTGTGAGTGTGTGTGTGTGTGTGTGTGTGTGTGTGTGTGTGTATGTGTGTGTGCCTGTCTGTGTTCGTGTGTGTCTGTGTGTGTCTGTGTGTGTGTGTGTGTGTGTGTGTGTGTGTGTGAATATGTGTATGTGTGTGTGTTTGCGTTTTGTGTATGTGCATGTGTGTGTGTGTGTGTGTGTGTGTGGTGAGTGAGTATTATCAGTATGTGTCTATGTGTAAACAGGCCCCGATTCTGCCGTACACACAAATACAGGAAGAGAAAAAAA